ATATCTTTCAATTGTCCATGATGAGGTTCACCAGTGAAATAAATGACATTTCCACAGTACTACTTTGGACGATTAAAATATTAACGTCCTTGAGTAGATAGACACATCTGGTCCTCTCTAGTATTATGCAACACAACTCTCTCAATAACTGAATTTCCACTGTATACAGATATCTAGGTAGTATCGATCATTATACTTGCTGAAGTCTTTTAATTGTGGTTTGGACGCGAAGACTAAACTAGAATTCATAATATAATAAAGATAGACATGTTTATTTTGAATCCGAATAGAGAAAGCCGACCTGGTTTTTAATGATACCAAACATTTGTTGGAATTAATTAACCATTGAATGTTGAAAGTAATCGTAACTTACCATAAAATCACAAGAGAGTTAAGCAATTCAATCCGAATGAATACGTTGAACAACTGTTATACACTACTATTTCCATCGCGGTCATGAAAGTGGTAGCTAATCATCAAATCTTGTTCGAATTTTTAATTTAGAAGTAGACTTGTAGTGACTCTCTTTTTCTCAAACCTAAAATATTCCTTCCTTAAGATTAGATTTATGCATGAAACTGATAATGAATATTTCTAACTTTTTATTTGCATTTCCTCTAAACCCAACAATTCATTATTTCAGACTATTTTCAAAAAATTCGATGAAGGTCATACTGGTAGCTTAGAAGCTTTCGAATTAAGAAATGTAATGAGGACCATCGGTAAGTGAAAGAAGTCTTTTTATCTCATTTGCCAGGTACATATTCGTGTACTTGACCTCGAGTCAGATTAAGTGTGCATCCTCGGTCGCTTAAAGCGAAGTAGATTAAACCGGCTTCGAACCTGTCACTTAATGTCTAGAAGTCGAATATCTTAACTGTTAAGCCACTACTTCACAGGTGGGGGAATACTATTTGCTACCACGTAAACCAAATTTCTTATAAACATAATTGATAATAGAAGAAAGCAATACATGACCAAGATTAAAAGCCTAACATGATCTATGGAGTAATGTAGTCGGACGATACATATTGTTGACTCTGTGAAAAGCAAACCCATTCAAATACCCAGTTTCCAACAAGGCGATGTAATCTGAAATCCATTCTTAAAAATGAAAACCTCTAAAAATCAGAATTGGATTCTAAGACCATCTGAAGTGAAGAATCCGAACAATCGGGAACTTCCACTTTATCATGAGGTCGAAAATTCTATCAAAAAACATCGAAGTATGTCAGTTTACACTAAGAGTCAAAGATATATAAACCACTCAGGATTTTCAAAGTACAATGAAATCATAACTCCTGACTTAAGGAAATGATATTAATGTGTATGTGTACCTTATTTTCTATGTTTAGTCTAAAACATGTTAGCTGCAAAATACTAGCCGTAATCATACAATAATTGAGACAAAAAAGCTAACTGTACATAATTATACAGTGGTAATCGTGGACGGGCGATTTAAAATAGTAGTGACGAATAATTACCAGGATTAATCGATCTTTTACCAAGCATTTCTAATCCTTGGTTGTAATATTTATCCAGCTGTGTTTCGTCCAAATTTTTTGGAGGCATTGTCTTGATCAATAGTGTACTCTAGGTATTCTATACAGATCGCGTGTACAGTACTGTATTCGTATTTTCGACCATTACAATCAGTTAGTTAGTTATTACCTACTTATGTTTCAAACTTATAATACAATCACTTCATCTTTTTATTTGTAACGTGAATGCATCGAACATAATCCTTGTAGTCCCATATAGTCCGGCATCTTATTGTTGCTATTAGACAATAATACATTTCATAACCATCCAGTGAGTGAGTGATCTTATGTACTCTTTGGACCTAGTAGTAATGCATTTTAATTCCTATTATGTCGTTACACGCGATAGTTATCATTCTGTCTATTAATCGCGTGTTCATGCTACTAAAAAAAAAAGAAAACAAGTTTAAAGCATTGTACAGAAACAAAATAGTCCAGGAGTGTGACAAAAATTAATCGGTTAATTCACGAAAATATGGATTTACAGCATGAAACGTTGACAATTAATTTAGTTGATACAAGCTATTTCTTCTACTTACCAAGTAATCCTCTAATTCCTATATTCTAAGTATCACAAAACTAACAAATTTCTTTTCAATAATACGGTTATGATCGTATACGAAAATCTTTTTTCCGCATTAGGTTTTCATGTCAGTAATATGATTTTCAAGGCTATTGCTTGTCGATATGCAAATGAAAAAGGTCAAATTTTATTTGATGATTACATTTTGTTATTGATCCGACTATCCACTGTTTTCGAAACATTCAAAGCACAAGAGCGCACTCGAGATGGCCGAGCTGTCTTTGGAGCTGACGATGTAAGTTTGAATTAGATAGTCTGTTCAAAATTTTAAGTTGTTGTATGTTATTTGGTTGAGGATAGTCGGGAGGGAACCATGGATCTGGGTTTCTTGCTAGTTGGGACTTACCAGCAAGATATTAACTACACCCCAACCCGCACCCCCAGGTCCTAGTCTGTGACATCACCACTGAGATATTTAAAATTGATTAGTCAGCTATCTTAATATCCCAACATAGCACATGCGTTACCGAGTCACTCAGATTAGTGGCCACATTGCAATTTGGTCAGCACTAAAAGACCAGGCTAACGTGGCATCGGTCATTACATAGTGAACAATCAATTGTAAGCAGTTGCATACTATACTGTCAGTGTACGGAATTTCAGAATTCGGAAAACGAGGCCATTTGGAATATAATTCAAGCGTACAGCCCAAGTTATACGACCAGTAACAAAAGAATGAAGAAATGTCTCATGTTGAGGATGGTCATCAGCTGTTGCATTGGATACCAGTAGATATTCAGTATATGGATATACACAAGATAAACTTTGAATGACAGTACCAATGAATCATTGTAAGTTTGAGTTGAGTTAGACAGGCGGCCATAAGTAAAATTCCATACGGATCAGAGGGTGATCATTGCAGTACTTGAAATGTCTGGCGCCATGCGGATATGATATAAGCAATCATCGCAATAACTGTGATCTTTATGTGGAGAATAAGCATTCAGCTCTACAATGTATCTGTACTAGCTCAACAAACAAGACTGTGGCGACAACTTAAATTTCATATGTTGCTAGTAAGCAGCTTCCAACCTTTATTCTTAATCTTCATTCGTTTCATATGATGTACACTCTGTGTTACATAAATTTAACATCAAATCCACTTCACAACTGTTTTCAACCAGATTTTCCTACTTATTCCTCCGGCAATATTCCAGAATTTACCAGAATAGATTTCAAGTGTGGTGCATCAAATTTTTTTCTAATATATAGACTCAGTAGATCAATGCTTAGCACAATTCATCGGACTACATACCAAACGGACTACTAATGCAGTTAGAAATTATCTTTGAATAAGATCGATGATTTTCACTAAAACCTGGTTTGTTATTTACTAGGGACTATCCGTTGCGAAAAAGAGCCGTCTCAGTAATAGAATGTGCTGCTAGCGTCTTCAAATCATGTTGGCAACTTATCGCTTCACATTACTATCCATTTCCTATTTTGGTAATGTATGAATTGTAGTTTCCAATTTGCTCATTCTTATTTTAAACTACTGCTTAGTATATTATACATGCATTCTACATTCGTTTTGCTTTTTCCAGTTTATTCGCTCAGTTATATATATTTAGAGACCCAAATTAAACCGCCATCATAATAATATTTGTGAATACAGGCATGTATGATACATGTACACACAACAGATGAAACTGGCTACTTATATGTGTATACAACTCTTACAGAGATGCCGACCGTGATAATTGGATTCTTTTGCTATTTGCTTTTTTTGTTTTGATTTTGCATGCTCAAAAGAAAACTTACAATATATTTATTATCTTACAAAATGTCATTTATACCTTTTGGTATAGAAAACGCACTGGTTTGCTTTTATTTACTTGATTATTATTAACTATGCTATAAATAGTTCCTATTGAAATTGTCATAGAAGGTTGAATCAACTGAGCCAGTATAGTACTGTAACAGATTTTAATGATGTTTTGTTCTCTGAGCTCGATGGTTTGGTCGTGGAGCTTTTATCGTTCTTATAAACGACATCACAAAGAACAGTGGTTGATTTAACAAATTCACTGACATACAATCTGGCGAAATACTTAACTAGGATACTTAAACGATATAGTAAATTGATTAATCATGGAATTAAAAACATCTGTTGAATTCAAGAATAATATCGATAACACCTATATAGAATATGATCAATTAATTAGGTAAACTGAACATTGAAGATGTAATATATCCATAGATTGTTTTTTTTCATTCACTGATTCTACTAGTATCCTACAACAATCCACTGTCATTTAATTTTAGAGCATTTTGATCAATAATTACTCAACATTGTACTTTACATATATTATCAAACCTTATTAAGTTTAAGCAGTATTACAGGGTATTTTAAATCGGCTGGAAATTGACAGATAATTTTCCTCGGAGAGATACATCAGGGAAAATTTACCTAAAATCACTATCTTATCTTTATACAAAAGTACAGATATTTCTTTGAAGCGGATCGTAATCAGTTAATGTAGTACTTATTAAAAATAACTAGGCTGGTAAGTATTATATTGTACATTAGGCTAAACATTTGCAAAAAAAGAACTCAGTTCAGGTCCACTCGCGCTGACGAAATAAACATCCGTTCAAAAAGCTACACTGGTCGCTACGTTTAAAAAACGTAACCTGCCTAATTATTGCGCTATTATACATACTGGGTTTGCTGTGAGGAGAGACGCTTAGTTTTTTTGCGTTAATCGTTTCTCGACTGCATACAACAGTTTTTCAGTATGCGTTGTGGAGGCAAGGCGCTGTGCAACACATTAAGAATAAGATTAATAGCAAATTATCCCAATTTTAGAACAAGGACATTGAAAGACGGACGTTTACTGATTCGGTCCATCATATATTACAATTCCTGTTTTTCATTACAACTTGTTGAATGATACAATATCTACAGATTGGACATGTTTCGAAAATTCCTTTATAGATTCTTCAAGGAAGTCAGTTCCAACCTGAAAGCAAACAGAAGTAGGAATTTATTACATAGATATTAGATTTGATCAGCTTTACCACCTAATGTTATTTAACTTTGTGATCAAACTGGGCTTAGATGTCAAATCAACAAGTAGTGAAAACGCTTACTTGTAAAAAGATTGTGATTTTAGTGTTGGATAAAATAATAATGCAAAAGATTGCCTACACATAATAGTCTCAGTGATTCGTAGTATAAACTAACCTTGTCATCTTCAACGACACAACAGATTTGGAGCTTCTTTATGCCAAAAGCGATGGGCACTAATTTGGATGCACCCCATAAAAGGCCATCTACTTTAATACTTTTCACCAAAGAGGTAAGTTCTTCCATATCTACTTCATCATCCCATGGTTTCACATCAAGGGTGATACTTGACTTTGCCGCCACAACAGGCTCTAAATAAAATAAGTTGGTGTATATACAAACACTTAATAAATAGTAATTAACAAACTCCAAGCAAGTGAAGAAAAATATAAATAAACACAAGTTGATTAATGATTGATATTATTTTACAGGTCTCGAAAAGTTTTTTTATTATCAGTTCATATTAGTAGCAGTATAATTACGCGTCGTAATCAATTGAATTCAATCAGAATTTCACACAATCTTCTTCACGAGAGGAAAATCAAACTTACAATTTTCTCTACTCTGATGAGTAAATTCACAACGAACACTGATGCAAACATTAATTAGTAACAAATACAATAAACCATACAAGTGTTTTGGATCCAATACTAATACGCTGGTATTATGCCATCATGGAATATATGTAAATTCTGAGTCTTATCACGAAAGTTTAATAGCTATCATGTAAAAAATTTGGGTTGGAATTGAATAATCTACAATTCGCAGATAAGTGCCTTGCAATGTTCTTAAGCTTTACACATATTATGGAACAAGTTTTGTTATAATCAACTAGGAAGTGCTACTCAAACAGCTTAGACTATTTAGTGAAACGTAAAGTTTACCAGGATGACTAGACCACGTCTTGAGGACGTTTTTACCTACCTAAATGAAGTTGTACCAGCTTTATTAGACCCATAGTTATTTGACTAAACGATAGCACTAACTCATCCAATCGATATTAACTTGAATAGCTTAGGGTCTTTTGAAATGCAATCATAAAATGTAATCAGTGAATACAATGGGAAACGCGCGAACTATCACCAATTCTCTGTCGAGATTAGTACGGATAAGCCAGTGTAAGAGTTCATACAAATACAGATCACTTTATGTAAATACATCGGCATAATATGAAGGAGCTTAAAATGACGAACGACTACTTTGGGACCACATCGGAATAGGTCTTTAAAATAGTTTAAATACAGAACATAAATCATATTATTTTGCATTACTGCTATAGTATCTATTGATCAAAGAAGCATAAATACCCTCATTTTATCTTAATTGTGTTAAAACAACACTACAATTGCCTATTGTAGAAACCGACATAACTTAATGAATTTGTACAGCTAATAGGGTAAGCGTATGAATGGTCGCATGAATAATCATAAGTAATGTGTCAATACTTCTTAACTTTCAATTGACTTATATACCAAATACGTTTCGTATACCTAACTTCGAGTCACATTTAAGGTAAAGTAGGAGCTAAGTACAGACTAAATGGCAGTAAGTTTAACACCTTAACTACTGAAGCAGTGTGAATGAAAAAAACTTAGCCAGCTTTATGTGTCTAAATGGGTGGATTTTAAAATCAAAACTTACTTAGAGCTTTTTTTGCAAGGTATTCGGCTTCTCTCTCACTCCTGATACGCTCAGCTTCTTTATCCTCCTGAAGGAGTTTGGAAAACCTTAGTTACATACCTCGCTATCTGAACCAAAAAGATCAGGCTCTGAATCTGATTTTTCTCCAACTACATCATGAGGATCATTACTCAACTTCATAGTGCTTATGCGTGACTCCAGATCTGATATGCGACTAACAAGACTGGTAACAACTATATGAAAAGTGTGATTGTTATTATCATTAAAATTAAACACAACATTTTAAAAATGAAACAGAAAAACCTCGACGGTTGTGATAACGAGAAACGAAATAATGACAAATAGGTTAACAAGTGACACCATTAATTCTTTAGAAATGAAGAGTGCGCTAACCCTCTGTGGTAATATCACTGCGTCCAAGGAGGACGCGGACTCATTTGCATCCACCAAAGCATATCGAAGCCTGAACGTGGGCTTCAAAAGAAACAGGCATTTTTTAAACCATATTTCTACATGTAGGTGGTGATTGTTTGTCTAATATTGATCTTTTATTATGGGATCCAAAGTTCGTGTATCAATGTTCAAAGTTGTTACTTGTTAAATTTAACCGATTTCATATTTTAATTTCTTAAACTGATCGTCATTATGTTCCCAGAAGTAAAATTCCAAAGATCTATTGTTTTTTCACTTAATTAAGATCCTATCACTGGCTTCCAGCCATTCATTGGAGTCTAAGGATGTTCGGAAACAGAATAGCTTATAATGGAACAGTCATTTCCTCTGAACTGAGGTTATTATGAGTGATTTAGTTATGTGCTAAACACTACAAGGCACTGTTTGCTAGGCGTACAACAAAGCCTAGCTCTAGCGCAAATTAAGAAAAACAGATTGATCAAAGAATTAGGTCAAATGAATCTACGAAGTCACTGGAATTCTTAAAGCCGCAGAAGTATAATTGAGGTTTTTGGTTGAAGTAAACAAAGATTAAATCAGTAGTAACTGAGAATTTATACTATGAAAGAAAACATCAGTATACAGTGACGCCTCCTAACGAGAAGTGATGACAAAATGATAAACCTGTATGAAAGCTTATCCAAATAGTCAAGCAGAGTTCGTAAGTAGGGATGAATATTAGTAGGACAAAAGCGATTTATGTAGAACAAGACGAGATAGAGACTGAAGTCAAAAGGACAAAGTGTAAGTTAATGAACAAATAAGTCACAATAAAAAACCTTTTCTATCAATTACCACCGAGTAATAGAGAATTTAACAAAATCAATAGTATGGATTTTATTTACTATACAACTTATTATCATACTAAAAACACAATTCTGAAATACGCATTTCTCAAGTCGCCATACAGCTGAACATCCAAATAAATTAAAGCAGTCACCTATTTAACATAAAGTCTTCGTTTATTAAAGTCAGTATAAAAATATCATTACTGGAGGGAACGACTTACGTTTTTCAAGTTCATCAAGACGCCCAACGTCGAAAGGTCGGGATACAGCAACCTAAGGAAGTAGAAGACAAAAACAGAATCTCGATTTAAAAAGCGCCTCTCGAAATGACAAAATAATATCACGAAACATCCTTGACTCACGTGCACTACAGAAAACACGGGTCTCGACTACGGCAATGGATGGTAGTGCGTCTGTAAATGAATGTCTTGGAACAATTGAATGCAATATTGTGGATCAACAAACTTTATTAAACTACGATGTTAAGTGTCAATATGCTTCAAAAAAGCTGTAAACCTTTGAACCAACACATATGTGAGCAGTGTGATAAAACTTCTTTCTTAAGTTTGTTAACCATTGATTACTTCAATTTGAACTACAATTGATATCATCACCGCAACTTGTTTTTGTCTAACATATATTTTGATGTGATATCGAGAAGCTACTCCACAGGGACCCATGGGTATTTACAAAAAACTTTATCAACAACGAACACAAATGATTTATTGGAGATTTATGAGTATTAGTCGGTAAAATGAACCGAGTCAATTACAACACACCATTTTTAAACATTGGAGGCTAATTTTTGGACGAACCAACGAGACTACATATAGCACGTCTTGGACTACGGCGCGAAATTCACAAACTCATACGATTAAATGACGTTTTAGTATCATAGTTGGTGCCAGTTTGTAATGAAAATCCTAACCCTAATTCTTCGCACTAATTTATGATCCTCTTTGACTATCAGCAAGCAAATATCCTTGTTTTTCTTGTTAAAATGACCGATGAACTATATAAGATATGAATACCCTTAGTGATATGGGATGAAATACTTCAACAGGAATTTCTTCTGCTACGCAATCTGTTCCTTCTAATAAAGACTGGACCACATACAGAATTAAGTCAACCCTGGTTTGTTTAAGATACCCAAAAAATTGGGGGAAAATCTTCTAGAAAGCCAGATTATTTATTTAAAGTAATGTATCCAGGTGCTTGAAGGAATTTTGGGATGAAATAAACGTTTATTTTAGAATAAGTGATAATTATGTTGGGAAACCAGCGAGAGTATATTTTATGTACAAAGCAACCAGGTATTATACAACAAACTTTGGATTTTGACGCGAAATTCATCCATCCATTTGGTTAAATAGTTTTAGCATCTTGGCTGTCAGTTCGTGATGGAAACCATAAATCTAGATTACAACCCTGACCAACTGTAAGTCATAACTCTAATTCCTAACACTACCTTATAACCCACATTTAGTCTTAGTAGGGGTAGACATTCTCGAGGTCAATTTAGCAAAACCCAAAGGTCGTCCGTAAATTAAAGTCTCCCAGGAAAACCCTACTCGGTCATCACTATAGTCGCTGTGGATACATGTAGCAAAAAACGATTATTTAGAAACCAATCATGCCGTGCAAAAGATATATATTGTTTATAATTTCATTATGTGAATAATGGTATGGTAAGTAGATACTGTGTTACAATGGCCCAATTTCCATTTCATGGATTAAACTTCTATATTTAGGAATGACTGATAGGCTAAACCTGTAAATGGCTAGAAAGTAGTAAATGGTTCACCAAAATTAGTTTCCGAGTTCCAAAAAATTCCCGTCTGTAAAATGACTAGTACAAGCATAAACCCGGATGAATTGGTCAATCGAATCCTCATATCGATGTTTTGGCCAGCAATCCACCATTCCCTTCATGTAAATGTGCGCCACAATTAGAACGAAACGCTCATGCTGAGTATCACCGCTAGTCAACCACCAACCTATGGTAATCGATCCGGATGTTTATACACACTACAAAGTAGATCAGAGGTGTAAGCAGACTGTCCTAGTTTTTTTATAAATACGTTAATAGCCTATAGATCACCAAACCAAGTGCACAAAATATACCTTAGGTTCTGAAATCAATAATCGTGACTACTTCCATACCAAACATCACATTTTGATCAGTTTATTCACATTAAAAATTGTCTGATAACGTAACCAACCCATTCTCCTTGTTTTAGGGAAACATTAGTGAAATTTTGTAGAAACTGGAATAGAAAACATCCGTGAAATGGCACAAAAATATCAAAATTTCCACAGGTCTGGGGAAAAAGTCCCCAACGTTTTGAAGAATTTTTCGGTTCTCCCGAACACTTCTACAGAGTCTTATAACAATTCGGAGTTTTCACAAAAGTCTCCCCAAAGTTTGGAGAAAACTACCATCTTTCTTACAACTTTGTGGAAAACCCCGTAATACGGAGATTAGGTAACCAGACAGAAAATGTTAAGGCCTTTAATCTGGAAGTTTGGTTGATACACTTACGCGATCCAAGGATGTTTTGATATGCTCTCTAGCTTTTTGAATTTCTTGTGCCAAAGACCCCGTTTTCTTGAAATGTTAGCGAGAAAATTACAGAATACCAGTGTTTCCGGAGCTTTCGACTGAGTAGATGACGACAGATGAGATACATAAGCTTTCTCAATATCCGGGTAGTCAGGAAATGTAAGTGTCTGTGCGCCTATAAGTAAACCCGCTTCCATTTTGACCACGCCACTAACAAACTGAATAACCCTCGGTTACTCAATATTCAAAATTCGCCTGGGAAAAATTCGAGGCCCATTTCCAATGATCATAAGTATGTGTTAAACGTCATTCCGGCAGCTAGAAAGTGGATAACTGGTATACATAATAAACGTTATGAGAGCTACAATATACATATTACATTATACATTCATGTGAGACTATAATTTATGAACCAACCAATCAGTTTTATGGTAACAGATCTTAAACGTAGGTGCAATTCAAACATCCATTTGTCCGAATAGCGTTCAGGCACAATAGCTGATGTCAGTTCGTGATGAAAGCCATAAGTCTGATTCCAATACTCAACCATCAATTGTAAATTATAATCCTTATTTTTCAAAATGCTTTATAACACTCATTTAGCACTAGAAAGTAGGTGGACATTCCAAAGGTCATCAGGGTGCCGCTCAAAAGCCATCCATAAATTTGAGTATCACCTACACTCAACATTTTATGACAAATAGGCATACGAACCCATTTCTTTGGAGTTGCAACTTGGTCCGAACAAACAGTTTCAGATATTTAGCTATATTTATATGTTTCGATGGTGTCCGATTTGGCAGTCATTTAGATTGATGAATGAGAGCAAGTTATCTTCAGGACTAAGGAATGTATTTGTAATTATTACGGATAAATTGTTCAGAAATACTCTAAAATAACGATCCGAAATCCATAAACCGGATGTCAAGAATGGTGGGATGCGAAGAAATATTCAAACTCAAAATTATTATTCTGAAATCATTCGGATTGTAGCGGTAAATAAATCCACAAAATAAATAGCTCTGTAAGTTTTCGACATTGCATGCTGACCAGATTAGTTTTAGTGGACTCACCTAACTGAAGGCGCTCGGCCATGCATCCGCACCAGATCACGTGTGGTAACGCCGTGCTCAACATCTTCTGCAATCGCTAGCCAGACTAGATCAGACGATTCCGATATATTGGCAATCGTCAAATACAACTTCTGATCTGCTTGATTCTGTCTTTTGATTTCTCTTGGTAGGTACGAGTTATACTAGAAGGTTCCACCGGTAAAAGCGTTGTCAAACACTGAATACCTGTGTCATCTTCATTGGTGAGCCTAACGTGATCTGATACAACAAATCGTAAACTGTGAGTCTGTACCATTTTGGGATTTAATATACCATTGCTTTATTTTAATTGTTCTATACATTGTGATATTTTTTCCCTTGTTTTTGGATATCTATATATATTTTTCACTCGTGTATTCTCGTACTTAATTTTCCCTTACGGCTGAACAGACCCCCAAGGTATCTAAGATTAAGACTATGTCCCAACACTCGTTCCAACACACACCCTTCTGGCCCGAAAATATCGAAGCCTGGTTCCGCTACGCAGAAGCCCACTTCCACGAGCACGATGTGAACGACACACGAGCACAATTCCTCGGAGTAGTCAAGGCACTACCGCGCGAATTCAACAGGTACGTAACACCTAGTATGTCTACTAGTGATGTTTCTCAACCGTACGAAACCTTAAAGCGTCCTATCCTTAAACGAGGAGACCTAACAGATCGACAAAGGTTAGACCAACTCCGTAACAACATGGATCTGCATCACGGTTCTGCGGCGGACATGTTGCAAAGGATGAAAGAGGTTATCGGCCTAAGAACTTTCGACAAAGGCCTATTCAAACAACTTTTCCTGCCCAAGCTTTCCCAACAGGTGCAAGCGGTTGTGGTCTCGTTTCAAAATAACGCCTTAGACGAGCTAGCTGCATCTGCCGATCGTATCTCAGAAATTACGAAATCTACTGCCAAGGTTTTTCAGTCGAAGAAAAGCCTCAAACGACTCCGAATGACATAACCGAGTTATGTCATACACTCACGCGTTATCTTAATCTTCGCAACGACCGTAAGCGATCACACACCCCACGTAGAAGCACTTCACGTAAGCGATCTGTCTCTAGACCACGAGAGGCGGTTAATCCCGAATGGTGTTGGTATCACAACCAGTATGGAAAGTCTCCCAGAAATTGCAGATTATCCTGAAATTTTCCCAACTCAAAACCCACCGACACGAAAAATCTCGGGAAACTTCCAAGCCGGTACGTGTTAACGGCAAACGTAGCTGACGAAAACAGCCGTCTGTTATACGTCACAGATGTAATAACGAAAGTTCGCTACCTCGCCGACACTAGCGCAGAAGTTGGCATTCTTCCAGCAAATTCTCACGATCGTCCTCACGAATCGGTTCTAGACTTACAAGTGGCAAACGGAAAGCCAATCACAACATATGGTAAAAGGTATGTCTACATTAACGTCGGTCTACGCAAACCGATACACTGGATTTTCGTTGTTGCAGATGTTTCCATGCCAATCATTGGTATAGACCTGCTACAACACCGAAAGCTACTCATCGATACGCTCAAACGGAGGCTAATAGACGGAAGCACTTATTTATCTGTTTGCGTAACTCCTTTTTCTGATTGCAGATTATCTCCAGTCACAATTAAGCACACGATAGACCCACTTTATCAACCACTACTCGATAAGTATTCTGGGATTCTACAAACACAACCGTGTGTAACCAGCAACGTTACACATCACATCACGACTACAGGACCGCCTGTATTTTCGAAAGCACCCCGACTGGCTCGCAAAGAGCTAAGGCTGGCGAAAAACGAATTCGACCACATGATAAACTTAGGAATCATACGACCGTCAAATAGCTCATATGCATCTCCGTTGCACATGGTCCCTAAAAAGGACAGCAACGATTGGCATCCAACTGATGACTATCGGCGATTGAACGCGAAAACCATTCCCGATCGTTACACGTTGCCCCACATTCACGATTTGACAGTTACCTTGGAAGGTACAACTGTCTTTTCGAAAATCGACTTGGTTATAGCCTATAACTAAATTCCCATGGCCACTGACGGCATTCCAAAACCACTATCATTGCTCCTTTCGGTCTTTACGAATTTTTGCTCACGCTCTTCGGCCTAAGAAAAGCTGCCCAAACTTTCCAAAGGTTCATAGATGACGTTTATCGAGGTCTCAACTTCGTACATGCGTATGTTGATGACAGCTTGGTTGCGATGCTGGACGGAGGATCTCATCTCCAGCATCTGGATCTTGTTTTCGAACGGCCACAAAAGCATGGCGTTTCTGTTAACGTTGAGAAATATCAAATCGGGACTGACTCCCTATATTCATCCGGACACACTGTTTATGAGCAAGGCATCCGACCCCTTAGAACCAAAGTGGAGGCTACTCTGGATTATCCAGAACCGACCACTATTAAGCAATTACACACGTTTAACGGCCTAGTAAGTTTCTATAGACGATTCATACCGAAATGCGCATTACTTATGACACCTCTAACCGACTAACTTCGTAGAAATGTGAAATCCATCAATCTGGACAACACTACACGAAAAGCATTCTCCACAGTTAAGGAACTGATCGCTAAAGCAACAGTACTCGCTTATCAGGACACCGAGGCACCCATTAGTATCGCAGTAGACGCATCCGACTCAGCAATCGGGGGAGTCTTACAACAATGGGTTAACAACTCCTGGCAACCTTTGGCGCTTTCCTCTAGACGGTTGCTAGACATCGAACCGAGGTACAGCACATTCAGTGGGGAACTCCTAGCTATGTATTGTGCTGTACGGCATTTTCAACACTATATTGATGGCCGTGAATTCACCCTTTTCACTGACCATAAACCGTTTACCTTCTCCTGAAGCTCGTCCTCTGACAAGTACTCACCTCATGAGTCTCGACAACTAGACTACATTTCGCAGTTTACTTCAGACATCCAACACATTTCTGGAGCAAACAATGTAGTCGCGGGCGACTTGTCTCGCATAACTTCCTTGAACGGTTTCCGAGGAATCGACTTTCTTAAACTCGCCCAGCTTCAAAAAGAAGACACTGATCTTCAGCACGAGTTATCATCTACAACCCTCAAGTTACGCATCAAACAGATGGGAACAGGTAAAGAAACCTTACTGTGTGACACATCTACCGGTAGGGCTCGATCAATCGCGCCTTCGTCAAACGATGGGTAGCAAACTTCGGCTGCCCTTCAACTATCACCACAGACCGCGGACGTCAGTTCGAATCTGAACTATTCCGTCGTCTGACCAAACCCTTAGGAATGACTCGCTCCCGAACGACCGCCTACCGCCCACGAGCAAACGGGTTGGTAGAACGTTTTTACCAACAACTAAAAGCTTCGCCATCAGCTGCAAACGTTTCACAGTGGATCGGCGCTCTTCCACTCGTCTTACTAGGTATTCGCAATGCACTGAAAGCTGACATTGGATACACTGCAGCTCAACTCGTTTATGGAAGGACACTTCGACTCCCAGGAGAATTCGTGGATCCTTCATTATCTTCAATGAATAAGGATCTCTCCTACACGAGCAGGCTTACAAACGCAATGCGTTCCACTCGACCGCAGTCAACTGTCGCTTTCAACCTGACTTATGATATAGCACACACGTTTTCGTTCGTCGAGACTCGCGTCGATGACTTCTCGAATCAGCATACGAAGGACTTTTCAAAGTTCTTCAGAGCGAACCCAAGCACTATAAAGTTTATAAGAACGGAATAAACGATAGCATCAGCATCGATCGCTTAAAAGCAGCGTATCTAGAGTGAAACCCTATCCATTTCGATTTTCTTTCGGCGATTGAGACCGATTAATTGCAGGAATCAACATACCGGCTCAGTAAAGAGAGCTGTTAAGACTGCGGAACTGTTCCTTTCAAGATGCTGGAACTGCATGTATTAACTACGAGACGGTGAATGAACTTGATTTCCAGTCGATGAAATTTTCTAGCACTTTGCTTAGTCGTCATGATGAAATACAATCTCAGGGTCGGTCAAACTTGCGTTCGTTTAATAGTAATTTCTATTCTCGTATAAATATGAAATGCATTTCAAAAAGGAATTACAAAGCAAATCACAAAGGTGAGATCA